TGTTAAATTGGACTTATAATAATGTAGAAAGTCTTGTATATTCTTTAATTGTGGCTCAAATAACTTTATCATTGTTTTGTAATCTTGTGCTCTATAATGCTTCCAAAAAAACTAATTCTTGGTTGGTGTGTTTTAGTATTTCATGTTGTAAACAAGTATTGTAGACTTTCTCCTCTCAATTTACCTCCTAAGACTATGTTGAGGTAGTGTGGTGTCAATTTTTATTGTCTTAACATAAAGTTTTGTGCGGGATTTTTTTTTTTTTTTTTTTTTTTTTTTTTTTTTGCTTAGGTTTGCTTTTGTATTCTTTATATTGTCATTTGAACTAAGCATCATTCCTTATTTCAGATTTTCTTCATTGTAAGCCAAGATAGAGGGCACTAGAACTTTGTGACATAGTATTTGACTTGTGTATTTAATTTATAAGAAGTAAGCTAATGGTACCATACAAATATGGATTGTCCCTTAGATATTACAACTTATACGTGAATGCATTATAAATTATCTTTTTTTAATTTATTTTTTTATTATCTTTAGCTAAAATATAAATATCTACTATGACCTTGATATGAAGTTGATTTTTTTTGCAAAAAAATACCAATGTAAGAATTCTATACATGCACATAAATTCATCAAGGTTACATTGAATCTTGTAGGTATGAATATTGTAATCTTAGCTTGTCTTGGTCTTGGAATTAATGAGGGCACTCATACTTAAGCTTATAACACATTATTTCTAAGAATATAAATCCATACATTGCATAAAGGTATTTTATGTTTCATAAGATGTCTTCAACCTCCATTATGTTTATGTATTATTTCTTGATGGAGTTGCAGTAAATTATACTCTCTACAAATTTTTTACACCAAGTTTTGTTAATGTTGGCAAACAAGTGTTGATAAAAACTACCTAGTTCAATATTGTCTATTCACATGTAATCTTTCATATCCATCCAAACTTGGATTTTAAGCAATGTAAAGAACTGCATATAATGTGAATGAGGCCATTGTTCTATTACATATAGAAAGAAGAAGAATAATAAAGTATAAAAATGATCAAAAGCATGAAAAGATAACAATACAAGGTGAAGTGCAAGAGATATAGTGTAAGGATTATCAATGTTGATTGATCATAAGACTAAAAACTAATGGTACAAGATATTTCTATAAGGAGCTTCATTGATTTGAAGTTTTTTAAATGCCATCATGAAAGTTTCTATTTTTATTACTAACAAGACAAGATGTTTTATAATTATATTCTATTTAAATAATAAGGTGGTGATATGTGCTACCATAAGCTTGAAAGGATGTATTGGATATAATTCATGATTATGATTGCAGGATAATGTGGAGGTATTAGCATCACTTCTATTTTCAAGAATTTGACTAATGTCTTGGAGCAAGATAAGATGGCTTGTAGATTTATAGGAGCCAAAATCACAAGGTTGTATAAACAAAGTTTATTTGTATTTACAATAGTAATACAAAGATCTCAGTTGTCTTAATTGATTAGTAATATTGTATTATTAGGCAACTCAAGTTATATCCTAGATAGTTTGTGCCAAACGGCATCAAATTTAGAGTTGCAAATTTTTGTATCTTTAAAACACCAAATTATAAGGTCTTTCTTGTTGAACTTCTAAGCTTTGTACTTCTTTTGGTATGATGTTGTCATCCTTACCTAATTATTTTGGATGTTGGTAATGATTTAATGATATAACTCTTTGATTCTCTCAAGATTCTTAATACAAATAGCAAAGGCTTTTGTAACCAAGTCCTTAACAAGCATGAGTTTGTCAAATATTGGTACAATGTACTCTATTGGTAGGAGGGATAAATAATTATTTTAAAATTTTATTTATATTACAAAGATCAAGATTTTCAAATCAAATCATTCCAAATTTTTTATTTTAATTTTTAGTAATAAAACACATTAAGAAGTCACTTCTTATTAAGATGTTGTTATATCAAAATAATATTTAGACAACATTAACAAGAAATTTGTTTGCCATTAAATAACATTGGTTATAGAAATACTATATATAAATTTTCATATGTATCAAAAGATCAATGTTTTTATTTTAACAATTTTTTTTTTTAATCTATTTTACACATGTGATGTGAATTTATCATCTAAGTATATCAAAATTTATCCATGTTATAAAAGTTCATTAAATAGTAAAATTTTATTTTAATCTTTTTATTATAAAATATAAATTCTAATAAATAAAAATTTCCAAAAACCTGTTGGAATATGCTTTCAACCATTGTACTAATACTAAATTATTTCTTGATTTGTTTTACATTATAAATATGTTATTATATTTACATGTTTAAAATTAAATTGTAATATATTGAGATATTATTATCATTTATTTAATATTTTTCTAAGTAAAGATTGAAACCTAATGACTTGGAGTAGGTTGGTTTTTAACTTCTATGGCCAATATTTTTGTGGTGAAAAAATATGTGTATTTTTAAAATATTATCAGTATACAAATATATCTATAAAAATATTATTTATTTATTTTCTAATTTACCTATAAATGTAGAAAATAAATTAAGAACTTAAAATATCTTTAGATTCCAAACAAAAGTTATAAAAAAAGACATAAATAAGTCCTTGTATAGGTCAAAAAAATTACTTGTATTTTTTTAATTAAAAATTCACATTAAAAATCTGAAATAAATAAATATATGAACTAAAATTCTTATAGATTTTTTCCATGAATGATAATACAAGTTTCCACTTTGATTGTTGTGAATGAAAAATTCATATAAAAGCTTATTTTTATCATGATTTTTATTATTACTACCAAAAAATGTGATTTTAAAAATTAAAAATAGAAAATAAAAATAATTTAAACCATAAATAAAAAAACAAACAAACAATTAAGAAAACGCACAATGAATCATCAAAGTGCAACACACATCTAGAACCTTCGTCCCACAACGTATTCAAAAGAAAAAGAAAAAAGAAACTAGCAGAAACCATAGAATTAATTGAAGGAGGAAAGCAGAAGAAGAAGAAGTGAAGGGACCCAAAAGCATTTTGTGTGTTTAGCAGCGGGTAACTTCCATGTCCGATCACAACCTCAGCAATTGTTCACCGTCTCTGGAGAGGCGACACAATTTACATGGCCGGATGATGCCGTCTTATGATTGTAGGGGAACCTGGAGTGGGGATTTTGCTTGGTTACAATTGTGCATAAAGTTAAAGTTACGTGTCTCTACATCTGAGACAGACATAACGCCGCAGTACTAATCGCACTTGCGACGAGCTTATGGAGCTTCGGCGAGATCATTCATAAAATATAAAATAAAAAAACCAACTTACCCAGTTGGTTGGTTGGTACACACATTCATTCGATCGAGCTTGACAAAAGGGGGCCAATGCTTATCCTTCTAACTGTACTCATATACTTAGCACTGGAAAAATAAACAGTGGCACAGATGACCCCACTGGAACCTTTCAGGTCAAGTTCTAAAGTTCCGAATTCTAGCAACCGATTGGGCTTGAAGCACAACCTTATCATGCATCCGACAAGGTTGCGCCTGGATGACCGTTACAGCTCTCAGTGCTTTGGAGTCTAGCTGAATATTCTGGTGCCGAATCGCCTCTAGCCAGCCAGTGATCCACCACATGTATGGGTGAGTTGAAGCCCGAACATGGGAAGGGAGGGGGGGGGGGGGGGGGTGGGGAGGGGGGTACTTCTCTGAAGACTTGGCCATCATCCTGTTAGGGTTCAATCTAACTTGTGTATCATGGAGTACGATGTGAATGAAACAGTGAAACTATCAGCAGACCATTCCCTAAAGGTGTACTAGTAGCCAAATCTTGTTTGCTGGCGAGAGTCAATTTGGTCAAATGCAAAATTGGCCTCGTTGATCAGGTTTTGGTTGAGTCCCTGCGTTGGTTTTGGGTTCGGTCACCAGAACCCACTGGATTTTCCATTAGCTGGATAACAAGCTTATGCAGTAAGTTGAATGGTTTGTGATGAATATGAGTATCCCCAGAGTTCCGCTTAGATTTTTATTTTTATTTTTATTTATTTTTTATTTTTATTGAACTACAAAAAAGGAGACTTTCAGTGTGAACTGCAGGTCGATTTCGCTGAAGCAATCTCTGGGTGGGATTCACGGTAGAAATTTGCTGTCTCCCCTAGACCGATTAATTGTCTGCATGTGGTGTATGTTTCTGCATACGTACATGTTTCCACATGTTTCTTGTCCTTCGGCTGGAGTCAATGTATCTACGCAGTCTTATCTACGTTGCCACAGCTTACCTAATACATGTGTCGTCCAGCTTGAACCGTATGTCTGTGCAGTGGTCTACATCCTTTTCTTAATAAGGCCATTGAAAGAAACTGTCTATCATAGTTTGAAGGACCGGCCCAGCGTCTACATTCCAGGACCACCCCAGCATTAATCCTTAGACCCGAGTCAAATTATGTTACTCAAGTTAAACAAGTTGTGCGAGGACATTCTGATTTGGAGTGGCGGTGTACAGTTGAGTAACGAAGAATTAAACGTATAGAATCTTTACAGAAGTAGCTGGAAGCCACTCACGATGATGTAACATCTCAGTTTTGGTGTCAAGCGTTTATGCGCTTCATCGTACATACCTGGGGGTGACCTGGTGGCCCATTATTCACTTGGCAGCTCACTCCAGCGCTCTCCCCAAGAGGTGCAGCACATGTTAATCAAGCACCCTGGTCAGCCCTACGAGTTTTTTTCACTTCAAAGAATCCAAGTGCTTAAAGATGATGCAGTTAGCAGTCATTTGCAAAGGGTTGTCAGCAACATTGTGTGGCTGCCCAGGCTCCCCAATGACTCCCTTTGGTACATTTGCCGGTAACAAGGTCAGCAAGTATCGGCAAAAACCACGCGCACAATTCGCCAAGCCCTTGAGGACATGATTTGAATTGTCCCAGATATACACAGTTTACTTTGCAACCCCACCCCATTACGTAAACACAACACAGGTCGCTTAAGGTCTACAGAAGAAGTTGAGACCGTCTTCACTAATAAATCCTACAGACCGAGGCTAGCACTAGTGGTAGAAATATTACAATGATAATGGATGCATGTGGACACCAGTGTCAGCATGTCAAGCTTGTCTGTAGTACTTGACAGTTTCGTCTCAAATAATTTTTCTCCAGCTGATTCATTGATAGGAATGAATCCAGTCTCAGTCTACCAACAGTGAAACGCGGCCCGGCACTGGTTCTCCTTTGTCCAGACAATGAACACATTGTCTTGTATATCTTTTTCACTGGCCAGATCCGGCTGTGGATTCTACCTGATCATGCTCTGGTCTTGCACTTAATTTGACATCGTTATGTTGCACCAGTTCTCGTCAGCTGCGCCTCCCTCGATTCAGCTTGTACATGTAGATACTATCGAGGGGCCTAGGCGCGCTACGATCGCGGCCACCCCTAATTACAGATGATACCTCAGCGCCAGTTACCGTAACCACCACAATGTACTCGAAAGTATAAGAAAGCAAGAACTGTGACAGGGTACCTAAAAAGCTTCAGAAAGGGAACATATGTTGATAATTTCTATCCTAAGCATTAACACATGATCCTGGGAGAATAATTTTGTTGACAGCTCTGCAGGACGGCGTTTCGCGGGGGATGAGGAGACGAGGTGAATCCGAACCACCCCGATCGTATTTCAAGGCAGGACCAGGTGAATATCGCTGCCTATTTAAGCCAGGGATGATGTGCAAGTCGGAAGAGGACGAAACGGGTTATTACGCGCGACGGTAGGTTGCAAGAATGGCCCCCAATGAAAGATGGACGCGGTTCCTGGCATGAGATGTAATCCCTCAAGCGACCGAAGTCGGAAACATCACGCTATGTATAGACGAAGACCTGCATGCTGTGGCGCGGCACTTGATCCAAAACGAGCAGAAAGAGTTGGCGTGGAGCAAGACATTCAAGGCTTATAGTGTATAATGCATACCGGTGACGGCGAAAAGGGGAACATGGGCGGCAACCGAGGCTCATGGTAGGGTCACGGCGTCTTGACCGTCAGCTACCACCGTCGGATTTTGGTAGCAAGTGCTACTGGGTCCGGGAAGACAATATCAGACGCACAAAGCGACGGGCAAGGGCTGATCAAGGGGATGTGTCAGAGGCAGCTTTAGTGATTCCAGTCGCAAAGAAGAAGAAGACGCGGCCAAGGTTTCTTCATTTCTTGCTCTGGTCGTCGTCGCTACCGAGTGCTCACCCACCTCTTATCCATTAACCTCTCCTGGAAGTCACCTCGCAGTGGATAGACGCCAGAAACTATGGCTTAAAGTTTGTGTGTTGTATTTTGTTGTGTTTCCTGTTCCATCTCTGATCTCCATAGGAGCCCCTAGTTTCTAACTCTAGGCTTACAGATTACCTTCTGTTCCAGGTGTTTTAGGAGTTTTTTCTTCTTTTTGTTGGGAGTTCTTCCATGTCTTGAGTTGTTGATGTTTAGCACCGTAGGCTGTCTCTGAGTGCCTAATCGTTCATTGAAGTGAAGAGGTTTTCTTTAAGAGCACGTCAATGTGCCCGCAGACTACACTCTCTGCTCGGGAGGCTGGTAGAGAATGCCTGCGACATGGATCAGAGGTAAACAACCTGGAAGCATCCTTCGATGTGGTTAAGCCCTCTTTATCTGATTACCCCTTCTCTGTCCATCTTTACACAAAAGGTTGGTAACCCTGTGAAGAATTGTGCGGGCGCTTGAAGAGCCAAGGCTCTTGCTGGATTGATACTGTGAACATAATAGAGACGAGAAGCGACTTTTAGCTTATTTTTCGAAAGTACTTGACTAGATCAAAAATTTCCAGATATCGGTGTGAGAAACTATAGCTGTACTTCCGACCTCAAGTCTTTTGGTTCTGCGCTATCCGATTTGTGGAAAGACAAAAAAAAAAAAAAAAAAAAAAAAAAAAAAGGTGAAGAATGAAAAAAAACCAACTCTGCGTGGAACTTATCCACTAGTAGGTCATTCACTTTCTGTCTCTGAGGAGATCCTGGTGATCTAAATCCTCAAATGACTGGGTCAGACTCCAGATTAGAGATCAAGTGAAAACTTGCTTTACCATTATCCGTGCATATAGATAACTAACTACAAGATTAGCCGAATCGTGCTTAGTAGACCTTCTCAACTGATATGAAGGAACGAAATGAGTTCTGCTTAGAAGATTAATGTGCCCCCTGAACAAACCCGCGTAATCCGCTGATTGTAAGAAGTTTCATGATTCTCATTAGCGCAAGGTCGCTCTGGAATCGTGATGTTTAGCATCGAGTGGCTAGATTGTTGAGTGCTCAAGGTTTCACTCTCCTGCAGGGATACAATCACATTATCTCCGCACTAGACCTGTGTTAGTACTGAGAGCTTTCTTTATTGCACGATCAGAACCAAGATGAGTCTTTAGAGCCCGCTTACGTAACATCATTAGCCAAGAACGATTCTACAATTTAGCTGACCTCAAAATGACGTTGTCAATGTTCGGACGATTTTCCACACTAGCCATTCTGTCCTATCGACATCAAATACAGTTTTTTTTCTTTATCACCGCCCAGCTCTCCGAATAATTGTGGTCCATTGTAAGTACTCGTGGATGTCTTTCAATTGTTTCTCGGAAGGATCCAAACTTAGAACTACACAGAGAATTAATAACTAGAAACCGTGATCCAGTTATGACATTGGCATCGATGCTCTCTTTCATCTCTTCAAAATCAGCATACGTAGACGTTACTGAGATGTGTCGGTTACAATTAAACTAATTCCCTCGCAACAGTGTGTTATGTATCATCCTACTTTGCTCCGACCAATGAGTCTCAGATTAGTGTGGAAACAAACCAACGTGGATTGTCACAGCCCTTCATATGGTCATGACGGATTCCAACCGCTATCGGCTGACGAGGGTGTTTGATTGGTCTGTAGTCGGGCCTTGCAGATTGTGAAAGAGAGTTTCAAGAGCGAGCGAGGAGTCATGCAAACGACCTCGAGAGGAGTCCCTCGATTCTGCCTAAGACGCCTACCTCACCGGAGATCCTTGATCACGAAATCAACGTGCGTCAACATATCAGCCCTCCGTACTTTTCATTAACTAACAGCCAGGCTATGATGTGAATTGCTGCTTTGGACCAGCCGGTAACCAGCGAATCACTGGACATATCTAATCAGATAGTAATCGCCCCTAACAAGACCTCAAAAAATAAAATCGATACAGTTCGTAAATGAATATCATAAATTTTGTTCCGTGACAGCACAACAAGATTTGATAATTCTATTTGTAAGTACACAAAAATCAGGGAACGGTCGATTGGTTATAAATCAAAAGAAATAATACTTGAGTTCAGTGGGGCATACATTTTACGAATCATACATAATGTAACTTCTGAGAGTTCATTACTAGGGTGTCCTAAGCGTAGATCAGTAAAATAATGACTTTGACCAACGCATCTATTCCCAATCCTCCAGCAACAAATGCTAAGAGCGAACATTCTATGCACGGTTGTATTATGGACTGTCCCTGCAGGTTTCCAGTCAGCTGTTGAGTTCGAGGCCATCTCGACCTAAAGACAACATGCACCGATATAACAGCCAAAATAATATGACATATGATGATTCGCGGTACTTCAATGGGACCCAGGAATCGACATTTGAGGTTGAAAGTGAAGCACCTGAGGCCGCCGGGCGCAATATGATGCTGAATTTTGGTGGAACAATGGATAGACTAGATCCATCAGCGAGCTTCCCTGGGTTAGGTGAGTTACCGTCAAATGGAATGGAACCAGCCGTGGAGCAAAACCTGACGGGTACTTTCACGGGAGACTTGAACTCTACTGCATACGAAGTTGGGGATGATCATAATCATCTGCTTCAGGAAATGCTCCAACAGCATTCGCAAACCCAGCAGGCTCAACTATCGGATGCTAATTCCCAGGTATATTGCATTCCAGATAAATTTTGTTGGAAGGGTTTGGATATACATGCTTATGCTTCCTGAATATCAGTTGGAACTTGGAAGGTCTGCACATTGTAAGTCACAGTTCAAGATGTTAAAATTCTTTAGATGTACAAATCGCAAACACTCAAGGCCAACTTATGTCAGGTTCCAGCTACAGCAAGTCATGGGGCTTGGGAAGACAGTCTTAACGTTTTACAAGAAATGGTCCACCTTCAGCAGCAACAACAAGTACAGCAGATATATAACCAGGCTCAAACTGAAGCGCATGAGTTCAATCAAAGTTACAGTGCCGATCGCTTTCGAAACGCACCATATGGCAGCGGTGCAAAATTTCCCGGCGAATCTGATTTACTAAATCTCTTCCAGTTTCCCAGAAGTACCTCGACATCTCTCATACCAAGCTTTGGCTATACAACAGGCATCAGAGGGAAAGGTCCCTGGTATTCGACTTCCACAATCTCAGGTCCAGTCAATACTGATAACAGAAGCATCGGCGTTGATCCTCTTCTTGCTCATCACTCACAAAATTCCTCACAAGGCTTTTTCCACAACTTATCGCGAGGAAATACTCCAGAGGCCTCGAGGCATGGTGGACCAGCTACACTAGTGGATCTGGACCAAGAGAGAGAAGTCTTGAGCGGCAAAAATATAGTGTATGGATCCAAGCGGGAGCTCGGAGCTGCATCGGCCAAAGGAGAGCCGCGGGGAGTCAACCATTTTGCAACCGAACGACAGAGGCGAGAATACCTTAATGAGAAATATCAAACTCTACGCTCGTTGGTGCCTAATCCAACGAAGGTATATGATTACAGAACCCTAATGTTTTCCAGAAAAAGCATTAATAATGGGATGGATTTCCAACTCTAAAGTAGACTCAAGTGTACTTGTGAGACAAGGAACACCACTGTAATTAAAGGATTTTAACACGAATGCCGTGATGGCAGGCGGACAGGGCATCGATAGTAGCAGATGCTATTGAGTACGTGAAAGAACTCAAAAGGACAGTTCAAGAATTGCAGCTGCTGGTGCAAGAGAAGAGACGAGCAGCGGGTGATTCCAGTGGCGCAAAGCGACGGCGATCCTTGGACGCCACAGACACTTATCCAGGGGCCTGCACGCCTGAAAATGCTTCTAACGGGCATCTTGTGATGCAAAAAGGCAATGACACCTTTTCTGCGGATGGCTCACAACTGAGATCTTCCTGGCTTCAAAGAACTTCACAAAACGGAACACATGTGGATGTGCGCATAGTCCACGACGAGGTGACAATAAAAGTAAACCAGAGGAGAGGAAAAACCTGCCTAGTATTTGATGTCATCTCCGTGCTACAAGAGCTCCAATTGGATCTTCTTCAAGCCAGTGGCGCTACCATTGGCGAACACGATGTTTTCCTCTTCAATACGAAGGTCAGTTTTGCTAGAACTTTGCTTCGAAATGGTTGGGCATAAATGTTTGTATATCTTCTTTTTCCGGAGTCTTTGAACGATTTTATGTGTTAGAGTATAAAGATACTAGGGTCCAGATAATTTAGAACTCACGAAGAAATGGTTTTTGTTTGAGTGGGTGATAAGTGCAGATCCTGGAGGGATCCTCTACATTTGCAGGGTATATTGCGGTAAAGCTGCTGGATGCTCTTGATCGCCACTTCGTCATCAATCAATAGATACCACCTGCTCCGTAATTGGAGACTCTAAAGGGGTAGACGAGTTCCACTAGTACAAAATTATACATTCACTTTGTATGGGTACGAAAAGCGTTAGAGAGCCTAAGAAAAGTGCACCCTTACAGTACAGGTATCTGGCCACAATATTATAGAGCCGGTCAACCTGTTTCGTGATGCAATTTATCAGAGTTGTACAATTAGTCAAATTGAGCGGACAGAAGTTAGTTAAAGCTTTACAGAGTCATAAACGTTGTACAGTTTTTAATTCCGGGTACCACCCGTAGAGAAATGACAAAATCTAAATTCTAGTTAGGCATACTCCATCGAGACGTTCAGCCTTAGTTATGACTGGCAGAATACACCTAGCATGATCTGCTAATTAAGATATCCTTAACTTTTTACAGGCATCACAGATGATGATCCTAAACGTAAACACGATGAAGTGCTATGATCTTGGCACTTACTCGATTTCTCAACATCGCACGTTAACATCGTATTACCTCTCTCCCAAGCTCATCTGTCGAGTACGGTATTCAATCTGGAAGTGAATGCAACGAATATTGCCAATGCAGAATGTCTCGCTTGCTGCATGTAACCAGCAAATCCATCCTAAACTCCCGAACACGTATTTCACTGAGCATCATTATTATGAAGTAATTCTCATGTTATTCTTTGCTAACAGATGATATTCATTGCTAACAGAATATCATCTGATATTCTTTGCTAACAGCAAGTTAAGAAGAGATGCCCATTATTTCTCACGTCAGACCTTACGAAATTTCTCTCTCTCTCTCGCTGTCTCTGGCCCGCGCGCTCTGGCTCTGGCTCTTGCTTTTGCTCTTGCTCTCGCTCCCTACCAAAATGGACATGAAACAAGCTCCCGTCGTCATCTTCCACAGTTTCCCGGCTCGCCTCCTAAAGCTACACACCACTGTGGCAAGCGTCAGAACGCAGAATCTCCCGCACAGGAACAAAACCAGTGTCAACGCAGCATCAACATCAGACTACAGAGTACAGCAAATAGCAGACTCTCAGTCACGCTCAACTGCGACTTAGGTCAACCTCTGGAGTTTCCAACATTGACGAGTGATCTGCACTGACGACCCGCCCTAATTCTGTCCAAGTCGAAGTCTGGCTGGTGAAAGGACTTCCCATCAAGGGGAAGACTTCGCAAAATGGATGAAGCCCTCTCTCGCTCACAGAGAGAAAACTCCGTACAAAAACTTAATACTCTGTTCATCAAGAGTACCGTGCAAGACTGGCTCCAGAAGCGTGCACTGGAGTTCGTTAGCATCGCTTTGCCGAACCAGGTTGAGTACTGATAGAATTCGGAATCCCTTGGCATTAAAGAGAAAGCTGAGTACATTTAAGAACAGGGATAGCTAGCAACCTTGAGCGATTCAAGTTTTTTATGAAATTGTGACGCACTGAAAACCTGCAGCTGCAAGCCTTGGAATCTGCGTTGCACTTGAGGGTGGGTCTAATACCGGCGACTCATCTAACGGCGCTGGAGTTTTCATACCATGTGAGCGAGCGAGCGAGCAGTTTACAGGTCCGAAGGTAGCTGTCGATCTTTCTTATGTCAGGCTTTACAGAAACAACTACCATTTTATGGAGGTGAGGAATGTTGTTTTGTAATTGTTGTCATGGGTGCCCAATTACTCCTGCTACGTGGAGTTGGGTGCGGGGAATAATGCTCTGGCGTTTGCATGGTGCAGGTTAAGGGCAAAGTTTAAGGAGCGAGAAATACTTCACCACGAAGACACATCTTTAGACCTTGTACTCCGAAAGATCCAGGCTTCCAGCGGACGGCGAAAACAAGACTGGCTCCGATGAAGACAGAGGGGACAAAAAGGTGATAGGCTGCTTCCGGGTCATTTATAGATTGAAGATTTCAAGGGTCTTTAAGAAAAATAGCTTAAGACGAGCAATTAAAATCAACTGTACAATGCAGTTCGAGTAGTGAAGGTCTTCCGTAACAAGAAACGCATCCACAAGCAAGTTATATACAACCCAAGAACCTTCAACTCTTTGGCGATAATGCAATTGGAAAAGTGCTAAGCGAGAACAACACTGTGAACATGTACAAAATGCTCAATTTCATCACCATTTTCTTTGCATTACCCCCCACCTGCTTAATCTCACTGTGAATCCGTCGAATTGCAATTAGTTCGGTGTATATCTATAACTGATATCATAAAAACGCGGTCCTCAAGGTAGTAAATTCTGATGCTGCTTTCATACGTTCTCCCTTAACTTGCCATTTATAACGAATCAAATCCATCCCACAAACAAACGAGTCAATTCTGGGATGTACGTGGAAGAACTAGTAACATTGGCAAATTTTGAAGCTCTAGAGTTCGGTTGCTAAGTGAATTGAGTACGGCGCAGTCAAAGATCCTTAGCAGCAAGCAAATGTCCTGTACGCGGGAAATTGTCGAAGAAGAGTTCCAACAAGGATGGACACAGGGAAAACGTCAATATCGATCTAGAGCAAAGATTAGGAGCAACACTCACGATTACTTGCACCTCCACATGCATGCAGTTCAAGTCCAGAACCAACAATTTTGAGACCAAGAGCAGTGCACATTCAATAGGGAGTTCACAAAATTTGTCTTCCGTATATGATTGGAATGTTTGCAGAAATTGAAAGTATTCAGCGAGGCCCTCGAAGCTGCTCGTACTGCCGGCGAAAATCACTTGACTAATCATCCCGAAAGGATGCGATCCATGTCAGAAGCGTGCACAATCCATCACTCGCTCAAAATCAACGACATGCTTCCTCGTTGTCGTAATCGACAGAGCTTCACCCGTGTGAGGCAGTTTTCAGAATTCCACAAGATGAGCATGATGTTGCTGACATCCAGCGGGTGCTGCTAGTCCTGCGATACAAGAATTTCTGAACCGAGGTTATCCTCGAAGGTACATCTCACATTACTCCGAATACCCTCATTTGCCTATCCAGACCTACTTCTCTGCAACTCCATGTTTTATTCTATCCCTGCCATCGCTCGGCATGATCTTCGACATGATCCCGACAACATGCGGTGACGCAATCTCAATCTGTGTCACCGAAATGAAAGCAAGTTGCAACCAAGCCGGGGTGTAGAACAATGACGAACACGGGTGTCGCAAGCGTCAGCTACAAATACTTGCTTGGACGGTGTTTTGTCAATCAGCTGAGCAATGCGCTGGTGGAGGAATCCGCATGAAATCGCAGATCGCAGCCGAGACAGTCACCGAAGTTGGCCGCACAATCAAGGGAGGCGATTCGGCGTTCATCGATGGTCCACAAACACATCCGCGGCAAAATAAAAGCAACGTTGAACAGTTGGATTCATGAGAAACAAAGAGGAGCCACTCCAAGCATGTCTTCACACAGCTCTCCGAGGCAGCCGAGATGGGCCAGAACACGGCGAATCGGGCCACAGACAAATGTCGGAATGCACGCAATTTCAAATAAATAAAATAAGATAAAATAAAACCACCACCATCACCACAACCAAAGTGCAGGGCCTGGAGAATGGCGCCCCACTTTGCTTCCCACACGTACCACTCCCACAATGTCTCTGAAATTAATTGTTGTAAAATCTATTCATATTTTCACTATTTTTTTTTATTTTTTTTTGTATAATACTGCTTATTCAAAGGATTGGAATAAGTTGGAGAATATATGTTTATTAGAAGAATATGTGGCGTGGGCCACCTTTTGTGGATTGGACCTTTGATGATGTTCTTGTTAGTACTTAAAAGTGTTCCTAAAGTTTAGGAGTCAAAAGTAGCCATTGTTTAGGTACAAGGAACAAATACCCCACAACATGGTTGTAACACTTGAGGCTTTTGGAGATAATAATATTAAAAAAAAATCACTAGAAGTAATTTTCTTTTTTAAAAAATTATTTATACTGTGGTCTTCATGCAATTGAATTGTGTAGTGCAATATTCAATGTATTATTTAATACTATTATTCAAATATAATCATATTACATCGAAACAAATCAAACTTTTTCATATTTTGTTAATGCTAAAACCAACAAACGATGAAAGAAACAAAAAAAAAGCATGTACAGTTTCAACATAAATATATCAAAAACAAATCATAATATCATTAATTTTAAAACGAAATCTATCAAGCAGAATTATGTAACACAATAACATATTAATCAGCATGCATAGAATCAAAAAAATGAAAATGAAAATAAAATAAAAAAAACTTAATTAATGTGCACTTTATTTATTTGTTTATAACTTGCTGACAAAATCTATTTGAACCAATCATCAAAAATTAATAAAATAAAGGAAGCACTCAATTATTGAAAAATCACTGTCATTCAATACAGTGATTTATGTATATAAGTAATGTAGTTTGTATTTTCATAATAAGGCCTATAAGTAGTGTAACTGAGAACAAAAATTAAAATTAAAACGGCTCATAGGTATTATTATTTTTTAGCTTAGAAACAAATAATTTGAATTTCTATATAAATAAATAACATAAATTACACATTTATTTATGAATAATTAACTTCAATGCAATGTTTTTAATTTTAAAGCATTAAAATGTATAAACTTAAATTTAAGATAAAATATTTCAATAATATTTTAAGAAACTTAGATTTGCGTGAATCTCTAAAAATATGCTATATAACATTCACAAACACACTAAAACAAATGTGTCTATTAAAGACAATATTATCCCTATGTGTGTATCTATGTAAAAGACATTATATCTTTTTATATGTCAATCAATTTATGATGTCATCTACAATCATTAGCTTGTATTTGCCTCGATTTAGTGTTTCAATTAATGAGAAAGGTAGCAAAAGACAACATTCAAGGTTGACACCAAGAGCCACATTCCATGGGCTTTCACTATATTGTGTGTTGTCCACTTCGCATGTGTCATGTGGCATTCTTTTACTTCAAATTTTGTTGTTGTGATGCTATTTAGAAAATAAACTGCTGTAACAATCAAGTTCTACATCCTCCATAGATATTTAGAACCCCACTGCTTTATTTCTTTCTTCCTAAAGTAAAGCAAGAGGCTTCAATGCTAATTTAAAAGTAGTAACACTAAGTATTAAATATTGGTTATAAAAAAAGATAGCAATATTACAAATATAGGTGTTAAATATCCTATTGAAATCATTTATACTTTATACATATTTTCTTTTAAAATTATAAATAGATACAATAATTGTTATTTTATAAATTATTTTAATAAAAAGCTTCTTATAAAAAGAATTGTTTTTGAAATTGTTCCATCAAGTATATAAAAATATAAACAACAAATCCATAAACCCTAAAAACAAAAACAATGATGAAGGAGGATTAAAACCATTTATTAAATTCACTAATTTTTTCTTAATATAGTATAATTGTACTTGAAAAGCGAATTATAGCATAATATAACTATTTAAATTTTGTTTTATTTTACAACAAGATTGCTCCTTGTCAATAATTTTTAATGTTTTTAATAGGTTACTACTAGAAATATAAGAAAAAATATGATTATATATATATATATATATATATATATATTTAACTTTTGCTTCGCAGATAAAATTCATTCAATACTTATTATATCATAATATAAATGAATTTAAATAAAATTGTAAGATAGCCTTTTGATAGGTTGCAATGAACATAATAACTTCAAACCATTTGAGCCAATATTAAGTTACATTTTATTAATTCTTTGCAATTTTCGGAATGAGCTATCTATCACATAATCAAAAATAAATAAATAAATCAGTAAATTATTATTATTTTTCTTAAAGAAAAAATTCAAACTGAGACAATTTTTCTTGTTTTAAATATCCAACACATGTGTATGCCTATAAGCTACAAAAGACATAGGTACCCAGTTTCATAAATTCAAAATTTTATGAACTGGAATCAGTTACTCTGAAGTTAAAGAATATATATTGAGAAAATTATGACAGTCTTTTGTATTAAACCTACTAAATGTTCTTAATAGTATTTATAGTAAAGAAATAAGTACATACATCACAACTTCAAAAGTGGCTTAATTATCAATCTTTTACTGAAAGGAACATTACAAATATTTTACTTTAAATTAACTAAAGTGATAAAAAGTATATTGAAAACTAATAATAATAAATTATAATTATAAAAAATCATGTTTTATCAGGTATACAATTTTAAACTTAATAACGCCTCAAAGATTCATTCACAACTCAATTATACATTATTACTGGCAAACCAATGATTGTAATAATTTGAGGAATACAATTCAAAATTTTACCACCATTTTATTCAAATTTTTGAACACCTATTCAAAAAAAAAAAAAAAAAAAAAAAAAAAACATGTAACCTGCATGTCAAAGATGGAAGAGTTGATCACTAAAACTTTACATAAAAAATAATGCAACAGATAAATCTGATGCAATTAACCACAGATAATGATCTGTTGTTCTTATATTGTAAAAAATAATTGAAAAATAAGAAACCAAAAAAGATAAAATTGTGCTTTAAACACCTATTGGCTTGATTATGTTTTTTTTTAATTTGAATTTGAACAAACTCTTCAAATGATAAATCTAAACAAACAATCTATGAGAACAGTAGGAGTAAAAAAAGAATATGTAAATATATATACATATATATTATTCTTCAATAACTTACATAGTCATTTTTTCTTATTTATATATCTATATATCTATATATATATATATATATTATAATGTTTAAATCACAATAATTCTGTAAAATTTGTTGAACCAGTGACACATAGTTTCAAAATCTTAAACACATGAAATTGCATATATCTCCTTAGATCTACTTTTACATACTTATTTTCACAATAAATTAAAAAAACCAATTTTTCTATGAACATCTAATTTTGGAAGCTCTAAACTCAGCAAAGATTGTTATAAAACCCTAGTTTTCAAAATTGAGAAATCCGATAGTTTGAACGGAAGACAGTAGGTGTAGTGTGAACATCTTATGAAGTGAACAGAAGACAGTGTGTGCAGTGTGAGCACAAGTGAAATTAAACAGAAGACAGTCTGTGCAGTGTGAACGCCAAAGTGATTAAACGGAAAACAGTCTGTGCTGTGTGAACTCGCGATGGAGTGAACGACTGTGTGAATGGTATTAGGGGACAGCTTCGAGGAAGTTTCTTGATTTACAGGGGAGGGAAAGCTGTTGTCGTCTTCTTCATGTCCTCCTCCCTTTCGGATGTTCTAATAGATGTGTTCTAAGCCCTATCCACCTATGGCGATGGCCAATGGAGCACAAGTGTTGGCCGCTTCAGGAATGCGATTGGACCCTGTGTGTTGGATGGAAAGGCCCTGGTGTCCGTCGATACAGCGATCCAAAAACTCACCCACTCACGCACACACAGTGAACTGGCCAAGTGGCATCGTCACTGATTCCGCAAATCGTTATTCACGTGTTCTGGACGTGCACGCAATGCCGTGTTCCTTCTGTAGCTCAAGAAAGAGAACCTTTCAAGTGTTTGTATGATGGAAGAACCATGATGCCTGAGGAGCACTTTACTGAAATGCTTGGAGTCTGTAAGTGGAGCCTCTGAAATAGGCTGGAGGAATAGTTTCCTGCTTCGTTTTGTTTTTTGGTTTGCGTGTCTGTTTCTCTCTACTTAGTCAGATAACCTGGAAAGGGCAAGCTCACTTAGGTGGAGCGCAAACTGCATGGGAGATAGGCTCTGCTGAAAGAGCCACCGGAATAAGTCCAGCGAAATACCTTTTGAATGCTAGCACTTGCTTAAAGAGGAACTGGCGGAAGGGAGAGATTATATCCCTAACGATGCGAGCTGGATTGGGTGCAGCAGACCCAAGGCTTCGTGTATCACTTGCGCAAGGCTGTAAAGATAGTTGACTTACTCGGCGGCATCGATATTTTTTTTCCAGGTTACATCCTCGTTGACTTAATATCGCTCCCCTTTCGATTGTGTGATTTCGGTGGAAAGTCTGCTGTCGATAGTGCAGTTTGCACTCTGATTTTGACATCAGTTTGAGTTGACGAACTCATTTTCATGTCTGTGTGGAATCTTTAGTTCGGGTCGAAGTTGCTTTCGAGTTCCATGCTTTAATGTGATGTTGTCTACGGGATATTTCTCAGAGATCAAGAATATGATGAAAAGAAATTAGGGGGAGGTCACGGTTATTTAGCTAATTGTCTTGTGCATCTTTGACGCTTTGTATGCGCAGTTTGTTTAATGTCCCTACGCGGTCGAGATGGCGATTGTAGCACTGTTTTAGTCGGATTCTTCCAAAGTGAGTCTTAGATCATGCGCCATCAAGGAGAGGTTACTGGGGAGGAATATGGACAGGTGTAATTCTCCAATCTGAAGTATCATCTATCGGTCCATTTGTTACGCTTGCAATTTGGGGAGGAATCAAGAATAGGCTATGGCGTCGCGTTGCATTTTGCTTTTGCCATTAGGCAAGCAGTTGCCATCTGGCAGTTTCCATGTGGAGAAGGATGTGCGATACAACGTACGTCAGCCATGCCATCGGCTTCGGTTTCGACAACAAGGAACACAAACATATCAAATCAATCAGAGTCTGACAGACGTGACAATCTATCAATCACCTTTGACATCAAGATTTATCTTCTCTAAGAACCTTAAAGGCAAAGTTACAGGTGCGGTGAATGGAGATAGATTTCATCGGCATAGCATCATATGCTGTAGTGGAGGAAATGAAGGAATTGGGCACGAGAGCATCAACATTGAAGATGTGACTCATCAGATGCGATTATTGCTAGAAACTGAAAGTCCATCGGCAACGACAGCAGCAAGTTCTTTAGTCAACTCCATGACCCCGACAGCTCGTTCTGTCCTTATTTCCGCTCTCTTCCCTGGTAAGCATTCCGTTCTTCTTATTCCTTGTAGGTGGTATGTCGGATTTCTTTGCTATGAACTCTGCAGATTTTCGAGTTAAAAATCTGCGAATTCAGAAAAAATTCATCATTGGCTTCGGTGCTCTCAATTCTTTCCTCTTAGTTTCTAGAATGTTACTCGATTCGTTTTACCTTGAACTTCAACATTCTTTACAATAACGATTGAAGCAAGGGCAGTCACATCATACTTCACAACTCCGATTTGTGCAGCTACTCAGGAATCAGTGGACCATTTTCAGCAGGCAGATACAAATGCAGACGGGATGGTGGACGCTACTGAATTTGCTAATTTTGTTGAAACGCAAACTCATTTATTTGAAGAGTCAAACAAGCCCTTAACGTCCAAACAACTCTATCATTTGGGGACCCGCGCTGCAATTGGTAAGCTAATGCTGTAAGCGGTTCAGTCAATTAATAAGTAGCTGTTATACTTGGCAAATCGTTAGAACTAATGGAGCAGTGTTGTTGCACTGGCATTTTAACTGGACCTAGATCATTGACGAGGTTGTCGGTTGCACTTAGGCCTCCAAGTTTTATTAAAACCCTCCCCTCCTTCCCTACGGTTTTTACCCGCGAGAATCTCAAATGTCCACGCATTCTTCAAGTTCTTTCTTTCACGCAAGTGTTTTAATTACGACATGTGTAGCTTGTTTTCATTATCTAATCGTGAAATTAGAATTTAGTTGTATTACTGGCATTTAATGCGATTCCAAGACATTGAATGCTAATCTTTGGATGTGGCATTGCAGGAATGGTCGGTTTCGGGTTTACAGGTATTGTAACTACCTTGTGTGTTTGAATTTGCTGGAGAGAACCACTTACTAAGAACAATTCTTTTTTGTCCTTGCTTTTAAAGACACGAGCAATTAATTGCAAAAGTTAGACATTTACATGTCAGCCAGTTCATTCTAAGATTGTTTGCCATTCGTCACTGTGCAGACAATGCTATCATGATTCTTGCTGGAGACCTAATTCAAAATTCTATCGGGATCACACTTGGCCTTTCTTCACTCATGGTAGATTTATATTTCTCCACACTCAGTTGATAAGTTGCGTTTCTACAGCCGCAAAGTCTTGTTCCTAAACTCTTTGAAACTACACTGCCGAATGAGATTTTCTGTCGAAAATTGAGAAGGGGTGCTGAAATGCTCATTCAGAGGACTTCACAGAAACATTCCCATTCCAGAGAAACTGGGCTAATTGAGTGGTGAGCATTGTGGCAGTCTGCAGGTTTGGGAAATGCAGTTGCGGACTTCATAGGAACAGCATTTCGAGGATACATAGAACGTTTAAGTAGCAAATTTATGCCAGATGTGAAAATCTCCACTCGTCAGATGCAGTCCAAGGAGGCATGGTGGGCTGAGACTGTGGGTGCATCTGCAGGTCTTTCTATCTATTGCACTCGTGCCTTCCAGTTTGTACTTAGAACGATGAGACAATCGACTACAAGACCTCTGAATCATTCTGCAATAATGAAATCTTTGAAATATCTCCTCAACGCGCTCATATTGTTGCGTAACGTGCAGGTGTCACTGTGGGATGCCTACTGGGATTAGCTCCATTGATATTCCTCCAGCGGACTGATGGAGGAACAACTTCTGGGTCCACGGTGATTGCTTTGGCAGGCAAGGATGTGAGAGGCAACCTTTCACAACCAGAAGATGCCGCTGTAGTTTGTTCAAAACCTGAAGCTGTTGAAAGGGGCGGAGAGACCGTGTTTGCTACCATATCTACAGTTGCAACTCCTAAATTTCAAGGGCTTGGACTGGCACAAAATTTGGGTGGTACAGTGATCATTCTAAGTCTCACGGTTGCAATGGCTGTAAAGAGAGTACAAAAGTTCATGAAGAATCGTAAGTCGGAGCAATAAGATTTCACTTCACTGACAAATGTATTTTGCAATTAATTTGGGACTTTCATATATTTTAATGTGAATTGTAATAAAGTATTATTCTTCTTCAAACTTGATTGCTTAATTGCATGATCTGCCAAAAACTCAAATACAGCGCACTGGCAAATAGATGAATATGTTCATTTTTATTTTTATTTTTTTAATTCACGTGCTAAATATGGTTTTAACTTTGGTTTAAATTTACTAACTGATATTTTTAATGATTTATTAACATATCTTCTCGATTTTTTTTAAATCAACTACCTCATGAGATTGATTAGTGTGTATAAGCCTCTTTTACTTGGGTTTATATTTAATGAATATTAGCCATAAAATTATAAAATTCTTAAAAATTAAAAGAGGTGGTCAAATGGATTTTAGTTTCTGATTTTCTAATTTTTTTATTACATAAATCTATCTCTTAGAATTTGCAATTGCTCAATCTTCAAGAAGTGCTTTATTATAAAAAGTTGATAAGCAATGTGAACAAATTACTAAAAAGTCTTCTAAACATATAGCCATCTTAAGAGAAATTCAAAAAAATAATTTTATTTAGACCATGTAGGAAAAAAATGCATTCCACTTCATCTTTTTTTAACCATAAATTCTTTTAAAAAAATACTTGTATAATGATAATTAATATATATGACTTGCTATATATATTAAAAAATATATATTTAATCTAAAAATTTGGCTAAGTATTAAATAATATAAAAACTTAAATATATTATAATTATATTTTATTTTATAAAAGAATATTAAAAAAAATCCTACATATCTCTCAATTATGCTAAAATATCAAGAATATCCATGTATTCTTGATAATAGCAAATATATCCTTCAAATTTGTGATTATAGCATATATAACCTTGTTAGTAATAAGGTAACACTACTTTTCCTTGTTTAATTGTCACCTAGGGCCAAAACCATGGAATGTGTAGATTTGCTAGGATATTTTGGCAAATTATTTTTTGAGCTCAATGAGTATGCATTTCAATAGATTTATACATACCATTACTATTGAAAATGCATATGGTATGAACTTGACTTCCACACTTGAATGGATGGCCTTGAACTTTCATCCAAAAACTTGATTTGATTAATTTATCACCCTAGTGCACTTATCACCTTCTTGGTTATTTATTGCCCTATAAGTCATATTTGTGTGTGAAGGCATAGAGGCTTGTGAACAAGTAGATGTAGGTGATGACATTCTATTCAAATGATACAAGCATCACAACAAGAAAAACATTGTCATAGCCAAGTGCCACCAAAAATCTATAATGTGAGGTGTGGTTAGCAAATTGACATTAAAAAAAGAAGCTAGATTTTTCTAATTCTTAAAAAGCCAAAAATAGGTATAGCAAAATTTGCTTAGTTTGGACCTCAAATGATGTTTAAATAAGAAATGTGGGTGATACCTTATCACCAATGAGGATACAATTGCTATTATCATATATCTAAAGATTATATTTTCTATTATCAAGAATATAAGAATATTCTTGATGTTTTAGTATATTTGAGGGATATATATGATATTTTTCCTTAAAAAAAATCTAAATAGATGATAGAGAAAATATAGAAGAGGCAACCAAACTTCAAATTTTTAACACATAATTCTAAATTTTACTCACACATATTAAAATATTAAAATAATATATTAGTATATTTATAATAAATGTAGGTTTTGTTATATAATTCACAAATGAAAAGAATAGTTAAATTTTATACTTACAAGAAGATTCTATCTATTATTGAAGTTTATTGTTTACCATAATGATAATGAATCTAAAAATAAAAATTATGATGTTTTTATTAATGTCTTGGTAATTATTTATAATAAAAATATTAATAATAATACATATTATGTACATTATTATTATTATTATTATTATTATTGTTATTCAAATCTGTAATATGTTTCAAAAAGTTGATAGTAATTATAAAAAAATAAATTATGCAAAGCTGGATTCATTAATTTACTATTTAAATTTTACTATCTTAATAGTTTTATTTTGTGTCATAGTTATAAGTGTATATATATATTTTTTAAAAAGTAAAATAATGCATTGATACCTTATTTTTAAAAGTAGATATTTTAAAAATACTTCTAATAAAAAATACATATTTAGAGATATAAACACATGGACACATCCATATACATAAAATAACATATCGTAAATATTTTAGTAAAATTACACTTTCTAATTAATTTAACTTTAAAATGTTTATGGGGCGTTGTCGAACTGAATGAAACCCAAACTCTTAATGTAAAAAGTAGAATTAAAATTTAGATGAAATTCATTCATCGCGTGAATCATTGAGAAACCACAAAACTTAAGCTCATGGATGAATGAACAGAAGGCCCGGTAAATGAATTCCAAACGAGAAGTACTTCACGGTGAAGGGGCAATTCTCAGTTCCGTGTCCAGTCGGGGTCAAATGCGGTGATGGATCCGCCATCTCACTCAACAAGAATCTGGAGAATAGGGGTCTGAGTCTAGGGTTTAATGGGACCCGTTACCGTGCTTTAGGGTTTAAGCTGTTCCGGGCTTCAGACGAAGCAACGAGAGCTTCAGGGTAGTTCGACAACGCCCCATGAGCTCCGTTTGTTCGATTTTTACTTTGCCAAGGGCGGTCGGTCTCTCCTCGGCCCCGTTGCTGTCCTTAACGATTGCTCGTGTGTGCATTTTCGGTTTAAGGGGGAGAGAGAGCGAGTCGTAATTGAGGTTTTGTAAGCGGGAACTACAGTGCGGGCACAATGAGGAAGAAAGTGGATCCTCGAATTCGGATGATGATAGAGAATGGAGTGAAAAGTAAACAACGAACTATGTTCGTGGTAGTTGGTGACAAGGGACGCGACCAGGTATTCGCTGCTGTCGTCGCGCCTGTGGATTCCTTAGTTGAAGTTATGCGGGCTGAGCATCCATTGAGATTGTTACTGCAATTGGAGTGCAGTCGCATGTTGTGTTTGGATTACTTCCGTTGCTGTCTGAAGTTTGAGACTCCGATGATGGCTAACTGATGAGTCTCTGCTTAGATGGTTACAGTAATGCTACGAAAACATAGAAGTCCGTGCGGGGTGGTTTTACCGGTTTTGTTTGTATCTTCACTTTGTAATTGACCACAACTTCATTGAACATTGCTTTGGTTGAATTCCAGGTGGTAAATTTACACTACATGCTGTCCAAGGCTGTTGTGAAAGCTCGGCCATCGGTTTTATGGTGCTACAAGAAAGATCTCTTTCTGAGCAGGTAATGTGGATTTCCTCGGAGCAGACGTTCTTTTCAGCTTGTGAGTTGGTCCCAGCGAAGTGAAGTTCAAATTTGAACTTAGCATAGTCATTCCTGATAATTATCATTCCAGCTCGTGTTCTATCTAATACAAGTTCCAATCTCTTAATATTACGTCTGGATCATATCGGTGTCAATTAACAGGGTAACTACTTAGTGTTTCAACATGTTTTCACACTATGCCATATATTCGACAGTACAGGGACCTCGGTTTTTACATCCTTTTGCAGTACCTTCTGAACGCAGTACGAAACGATTTCAATAAAACTCCAACCCTGAAATTGTGACCGCTGGTGTTCACACTAATTTGATTATCGTTGAATGTTCTCATTGATTATTAGCATAACCACATTTAATGTCTTTGGGATGCTGTGGCCAGACTATCTTCAGTCCACATCTGGCTCATTCTATCTAAGATGCTTTTTTTATTTTTTATTTTTTTATTTTTATGTGCAGTCATAAGAAGAAACGTATGCACCAAATTAAGAAGATGATGGCACGAGGGTTGTTAGACCCTGAGAAAGATGATCCGTTTGCTCTTTTCATGGCCAGTACAAACATTCGATACTGCTATTACGCGGACACCCACAAAATTCTGGGTAACACCTTTGGCATGTGTGTTCTACAGGTCAGCATTTTCGGCGCTGATTCTTTGGTGCCGTGTTAGTGACCTTTGTTCTCGAACATAGCATTTTCTCACTGAAGCCAATCGCAAAGCTTTGGTTATCTAAAGAACCGTCTGTAGGTTAGTTATCTTTTACTTTATTTTATTTCTTAGCCATTAAATGTGGCATGTCCTGAGAAGTACTCTGATTTATCATCATGCAGGACTTTGAGGCACTTCAACCAAATCTTCTAGCTCGGACCATTGAGACAGTGGAGGGTGGTGGCATAATCATTCTTCTTCTCAGCTCACTAACTTCTCTAAGCAAATTGTATACAATGACAATGGTAAACATTTACAGGCCAGGTGCATGACCTTGATACTAACAGTACCCACGAAACATTAAGTATTCTGTGAATATTTTTCATGAGATCCAGCCGCCCCTTTAGCTTGCTAATATTTGATTTATCGGTGCTTTGTTTGGGTGTATGTTTGTTGCAATCAATCTTATTTTACACAGTGCGTTGAGCAACTTGTGTTAATGATCAATGTGGACAGGACGTTCATGCCAGGTTTCGAACAGAGTCACATGGAGATGTGGTTGGTCGGTTTAACGAGAGGTTCATATTATCCTTGGCTGCATGTAAATCTTGTTTAGTGATGGACGATGAGCTTAATCCGCTCCCCTTGTCTTCACACACCAAATCTATTACTCCACTGCCCAATTTGGAGGTACATACAGCTACCATCTGCTATTGCTGTCTGACGTTGGATTCCGTGGTTCTCGTGTTTTTTAAGCTCAATGTTTCAATCATCCGAAATCATTATTTGTCCAAGGCCAAGTCACGCAGGGTCGGCAGGTGTCGGTCAATTAGAACGTAAAATATTCTTTGCAGTTTTTTGGAGCTCTTGCTGACTTTTAGTAGGTACTTCCCACGTCTCTAGGGTGAAGAAATGCTATCCGAGGCCGACAAGGACTTAAAGGAATTGAAGGATTCCCTTCGAGACACGCAACCGGCCGGTCTACTGGTGCAGAAGTGTCGCACTCTCGATCAGGTGATTTCTCTTGACTTAGTTCAGTCATTACTTAGCCAGCTTTGCAAATGAAGCTGATTTGCCTACCTCAAGGTAAAGTTGGTTCTATATATCTCGTTCAGGTGACCTATTGAACTGAATAATAGTCGTCCAATTCCATCGCATTGTGGCTGTGGTTTCTTGTGTAATTTCTAGCATTGCTCTTTTATGGTTTTCATCTTTCGCCTTGGTATGAATTGACGCCAAACTTGACACTAGGACGGTTTTCTCTTAATTCAGGCTAAGGCAGTCATTACTTTCCTAGATGCTATTTCTGAGAAGACCTTACGCAGCACAGTGGCACTCACTGCAGCTCGAGGTAGAGGAAAGTCGGCTGCCTTAGGAGTCGCAATTGCTGGAGCAGTTGCCTTTGGGTATGGGTTTACTTTAAATAACATTATGGTCCCAACATGCATGGTTGTGTGTTTGAGCCTTGTTTGAACTTGGAGTGTTAATTGTCTCATGCAAGTACCGCTAGCAATTGAAACTGAGAATTGTACAGCTATTGTCACAGAATACACTTCTGACATGGACACTTCACACAGGTACTCGAATATCTTTGTGACAGCTCCAAGTCCTGAGAACTTGAAGACATTGTTCGAATTCATCTTTAAGGGCTTTGACGCAATGGAATATAAGGTATTTGTAGACTTTGACTCGTGATGTCGAAACTTGGGTGTCTTAATGGCATCTACTCTTGGTAGAAATTCCCTTGTGTCAATCTATAATGCCATGATCAATTTTTATAATTGTAAGATACTAGTTGATAAGGAAGTGCGTACAATTCGTTTATACGGTTACGATTTAGGGATCTGATAGTACTAGTTTATTGTTTTCAATCTCTAGATGATTTTCATGCAATGGGGCCTCTTATTAATTTTTTTCCTCCTTGTCCTATACAGGAGCATATTGATTACGACCTTGTGGAAAGTACGAACTCAGCATTTAATAAAGCAATAGTTCGTGTCAATATTTTTAGACAGCACCGACAGACTATTCAGGTGAACTCGCAGAAAGAAATGCATTTCAGCAGCATGTTTTAGCAATTAAATATTCACATAGTTCATTGTATTGATACTGTTCTTGCTCGGATGGTGGGTCACAGTATATTCAGCCAAAGGATCATGAAAAACTTGCACAAGCAGAGTTACTTGTAATTGATGAAGCAGCTGCAATTCCTTTGCCAATTGTGAAGGCTCTTCTTGGTCCGTATTTGGTCTTTCTATGTTCAACTGTGAACGGGTAAGTTTTTCTTATATAATGGCTAGTGCAGAACAATCTGCGAAACTGCCCAGGTGCTTGTGAGGGTTGAAGTCCAGAGTGAAACCTGTGATCTAGGCTTCTATTCAGTTGAATTTGTAACGTGTTTACTGCTTCTGAATCAGTTTAAAGAATCACTGATTGGTATAATATTTTTCTTGTACTCAATAAGTTTACTTGTCATCTTTACTTATCTTTTCTATATTAACATGGTATCTTTTGCTACAGTTATGAGGGCACTGGAAGATCTTTGTCGTTGAAGCTCATACAACAGTTGAGGGAGCAGAGCAATAAGTTGCAGTCTAATGGCAGTACGGACGGTGGATCTGTGCCTGGTAAAATTCGACAGCATTTGCTTTGATGATTGTATGTTACTGAAATCTAAATTCTTGTCATTTCTTGCTGTTTCTGCGAGTCGGCGTGGTGAAGATTTTGATGGTCAATAGTATATTTGAAAGACTTGATTGTGCAAGTGGGTCACATCTTTCATCTAGAAGTTTCTGAACAGTACATGTTTCTTATGCTAGAATTAGTATCCTGTTTTGTTCTCGCTTTATTACTTATAGAAGAGTTTATAAATTCCTTTTTTATGGATTTTAATTGGGAGTTTTAAATTGACAGGGAGAACCTTTAGAGAGTTGGAGTTGGCTGAGCCGATCAGATACAAAGCTGGAGATCCGATTGAGGCATGGTTGAATGAATTATTGTGTTTGGATGCCGCCAATCATATCCCTAATATTGAGGGCAGGTGAATTAAGTCCTTTCACTTTTACGTGTGTTTTCAATGTTGTTTTGGTAAATCTTTAGCTTAAGAATCATTTCTTTCGTCAAGAAGAATCAGAGATGGCTCCAATGTGTCGTTATTCTAACGTTGTATGTTGGTGAATTTTGCATGGATTGCGATTCTGTATTGCGCCATCAAGGGCAGAGTTTTAGCACTCATGCCTTTAGTTGTTGTTCCATTCTGTTCCGGACCTGCTTCTTATTTTTCTCTTTTATGGTTCCAGGCTGCCACATCCTCAAGAATGCCAGTTGTATTACGTGAATCGTGATGCCTTATTTTCCTACCACAAAGAGAGTGAAATGTTCCTGCAGGTAACTCACCTGAAGTTATTATGCCCAATTTCTTCTAGTCAACTTGGAGAATCATTCAATCCGCTTTAATCTGGGAAATCGTTGTGTTGCATGCATGCACACCGGCTTTAACTATCGTTCTTGGTTTTGGTTTGAGGGGATCAGAGAATGATGGCGTTGTATGTCGCTTCACATTACAAAAACACACCCAATGACCTGCAGCTTATGTCTGATGCACCAGCACATCATCTGTTTGTTTTACTTGGTCAGTTAAATTCGTTTATCTGTTGAATGCTTAATTTGTTTCCCTTCTAACAAGAGTGACCTTTATAATTTACTTTTCAAATGTCCTTAGTTATTTTATGAAATTCCATCTCTTAACTTACATACAAGATATACCTACTCGATCAAATTTTTTGAGCTTCTTTCTGACTTTTCCAATCAATTTCGGGGATCAGGACCTGTCGATGACACACAAAACAGAATGCCTGATATCCTATGTGTCCTCCAGGTACTTCGCGACTCAATATCATAATTTGTCATTTATCCAGTTTGGTTCATTTTCTAGGAGAGATCTCCGTGAGTCTTGTCGATAACCACGTTAGATACTTGAGTAGAGAGTTATCTTTAGAGATGAATATATCATGGCTTCCTTGCAGGTATGCTTGGTGATACAGTCCGGCTAAGTTGTTTTTTTTGTACTAATATAGTCGATCTTTTTCTCTGTTTTTGGTACAGGTTTGCTTAGAAGGTGAAATTTCTAAGCAATCAGCTTTAAGAAGCTTAAGTGAAGGAAACCTACCTAATGGAGATATGATACCATGGACCATCTCACAGCAATTTCAAGATCCCGAGTTTCCTAGCCTGTCCGGCGCGCGTATCGTTCGCATTGCTGTGCATCCAAGTTTAATTAGGGCAAGTTCAGCTTTCAACCTGAAACATGTCGATTGAGCCAGCTTGTCGAATTACCTCTTGCTTATGGGTTTTCTAACTATTAGGATGATGTTTCAGATAGCCTTTTTTCCAGAGCTGGGAGGATCTTTTACGTCGCTCGTGTATTGATTATTGAAAGACTTGTGTATACATTGCAGGCTGGTTATGGTTCTCATGCTGTGGATATCCTTTCCAGGTTCGTTTGCCATCTTTTATCTTTCTAATTCGGGAAATTATCGCCTTTTCATGCAAATCTTTATCGAGTTTAAGTTCTCTAAATAGGTGCTTATCCTATTTTGTTCTTGCAGGTACTATGAAGGACAGTTATCAGATTTGACAGAACTTGAAGATGATGCAGCTGAACCGAAGGACTCTCAGAAATTAGTAACAGAAGCAGCATCCGAGGTGTGGACATATAAATCTGTATTAATTGTACTTAAGAATGACTACAAACATACTTTTAAGTTACGCTTGTCCTCTAGATGAGGCGATGTTCGATATTTCGTTATGATTCAACTTTTCTCATTTTCTCTTGTTCCTTTTTACTTTGAAGGTTTCACTCATGGAAGAGACTGTTAAACCTCGTGAAGATCTTCCTTCGATATTGACACTCGTAAGTGAAAGGAAGCCTGAGAAATTGCATTATCTGGGAGTATCTTTCGGGATTACTCAGGCACTTTTCAATTTTTGGCAGAAGCGAAAATTTGTTCCAGTTTACGTGCGGCAGACCCCTGTAAGTTAAAAAGTTTATTTGTATTTTTATTTTATTTATTTATGTATTTGTTTAACTTTTCTCTTCTCTTAGTGGTCTACTACGCTCTCTCTTATCAAGCATCTTTAGCTATTGAGTTATATTCTGGTAGCATGAGGGCAGCTTTACAATGATGACTTTCGTTTACAATTTATTTCACAGTCGTCTTGGTCAGAATGATTTATTGAGCCTGAAATCTTCACTTGCTTAAACAGTTTACTGTCATGGTTATTAACTCGTTACCCACATATCTCAGCACATGTCTGTTGTTTGGTGCATTAATTGGATATGGTTAGCAAATATCACAAGTTTGTACATGCTGCTTTTAAAGATAATTATTTAATCTTTCTTACTCACTTATATCGTTCGGCTATTTTGCAGAATGAAATCACAGGAGAACATACATGTATCGTTCTAAAGCCTCTTCAGAGCGATGATGTAGAAGGAGTAGCTGGGGTGTCTGGTGGTTGGCTCAGTCCTTTCAACCAGGGTGCGTTTTTGTACATTACTTCGAAATTTTCAGGACCTGTGTGATGATCAATGATATTGTTTTTCTGTATTGTTCTTCTTGAAGAAATATTTATTTTTGAATTATTATTGTTAAAGTTAATGGAACATCTCTAATCAAGCATGTGAGTAGAAATTTGAAACCGAAGATGGAAATTTGGACCTCTTTATTGAAGTGATTCCACATGTTTTCTGAGACTTCTTTGTTCAGACTTTAGGAGGAGGTTCATGTCACTTCTGGGCTTCCAATTTCGAATGTTTGCTCCGGCTCTGGCGTTGAGGTAAGAAATTTGAGTGGATAACATGACTGACTGTTCCTAATCAAATTTTTCTGTCGATCTCTGATGTGCTTTGTGAAGGAAATGGAAACAATTATTCAATATTCAAGTTTGAATTGAGGTGTTCAATAACACTTAATTTGAGTGCCCCTTGCTATCTTAAGCCATTAATTTTTAGCTTGGATTTGAACTTTCGAAGTTATTTTTGACACACGATATCATGATATGTTTTTGTGTTGCAGTATTCTGGATCCCAAGATAACCTTCACTGAGCAGGAGACAATGGTAGGAGCATCGACAGAGAATATTATTAGAGGGTTGACTCCTCTGTTGACTCCCTATGATCTCAAAAGATTGGAATCATATGCAAGCAACTTAGTCGATTACCATCTGGTAAGATTTGGATACATACTTCTCAATCCCTCTACTTAATAGAAGACCCGTTGGGGCATATGCCATTGAATTTAATTTACTAAAGTTTTGAAAGTTAAGTTCTCTTGTCAGTGTCATTTAACTCAATTTTCACCTTTTTCTTCTTTCTCTCTCGATCTCTCTCGTCGCCTCTATTGAAGGCTTCACCAGTGCGTTCAAATAATTATCCAATGACCGTTGTTATGCATCTGCAATGGTCTCATTGATCTTTCTTGCCTACTAGATGGTAGTTTTCATCCTTAGCACATATCGAAGGCTTTCTGGTACTACTTGCCTTCGAGTTCAAATAGTTATGTGATAGGCTCTGGTCAGAATTGTACCATTGCCTTCTAATTCTTTTGGTAACTGGAATACCTCTCTTCAAAGTACAATCATCTCGCTTTGATTTGCTTGTGCAATATGTCTATGTCACCCGTCTGCTTATATCATCTTGAAATAGATTTCTTTTGTTTACGTTAAGGTTATGAGGTCTGTGGTGATTTCGAACTACATCTAACAGGACGTCATTTTTTATACGGGATGATCTGTGCAGATTTTAGATTTGGTACCCACGGTAGCACGTCTCTATTTTCTGGAAAGATTACCTACATCCATCTCATATGGCCAGGCAGCTATATTATTATGTTTAGGATTGCAGTATCACCAACTGGAGCATGTTGAGGTTAGTGTTTTTACCCTACACTTGCCGCAACATGTTGAATGTAGGACTGAAGTAAAACGTCGGTGGTCGTCTTTGTCTATTTCATTCCCTCATATGTTAATAACGGAGTTTCAATTCGACATAGTTGTTTCTCTGAGCCAATCGCTGTATAACTACTGTCACGTGACATCCACAGGCGCAGTTGAAACTACCAGGGAGTCAGATATTAGCTCTTTTTAACAAGACAATTCGGCGTCTTTATAACCAGCTTCACAAAGCAGCATCAAAAGATATTGAAGCGGCTCTACCAAGACTGAGAGAGGTAATGCCTAGGCAGTCACTGCAGTTACGTGCTGCTCTTGCGTAAGCCTAGTGATAGCCCAAGAACTTGCTGTGCTAGTAGTGCGTTCACAGTAGGTTGAAGGGAGAATCATATTCCTTCAATCTCTGGTGCTTACATTGAGCCATTTTCTGCTGGTTGTTCATGGAATTTTATCTCGTAGAAAAGTCTTCTAAGTCTACGATGTTTCCGCAATGTGCAGGTCACAATGATGCCTCATGAAACCACTGTGGATGAGGATCTGATCAGTGGCGCCAAGAAAGTGGAAGTAAGTGATGCTATTATATTATTTTCTTTTTTCACAGACTTGATATTAAAGGTTCTGGTGATTCTTTTTGAGGTATTAATGGTCATATTCCCATGGCTACAGTGGACTTCATTTGTGGTTCACTAGTTGGGGTGCTCTCAGAATGTGCTTGTACATTTCGCGTTTTCTCAGTAGGAAATTGTGATACTTTGCAGGCGGATATTCGTAGCAAAATGGAAGAGAATGTGTTGGATCCAGAAAAGTTGCAGCGATTTGCCATCACTGGTGCAGATGCTGATTTTGATGAAGCCCTTGGTAGTGGAAAAATCCCCAAAAGTGGATATGTTAGCGTGAAGTCTTCTAAACGTCCTGATGGCAAGGATCAGCAGAAGGTTGGTAAAGCTGAGAAAGCAAAGAGGAAAAAGGGGGCAGATTTCAAACGACCTGGTGGCAAGAAATCGAAGCATTGATTACACACATTTCTCAGCACTTGGCAAGCAAATGATACGTGTATTTGTGAAGATTGTATTACGTACAAGGTAAATCAGGCCAAGAAAAGTTCCATCAGGAAGCTGCAGATATGCCTGCTTAACACACTCAAGTAGGAAAGTACGTGCTGGTTATGAAAGTGCTGATATTTGGAACCTAAGTCATTGAATTTTGGATACCCTTCACAGCGTCGGACATTAGCTTTTTATTTCTACAAGGCGCAGTGATTTCAGTAAGTTGTAGGATTCAAGTTCTGGCACTAATTAGATGCATTTGACTTGACGCAAGTTAGGAAAGCCATATCTAGAGAATTGTAGTAGTAAGAGAAGTCGGCAGTTGTGCAGTGAGTTTACACCGTGGTTAAAGAGTTACATTAGAAGGAATTTTAAGCTAGATGACAAAATGACGTGACGAAGTTCATGGCTGCAAAATGATTTTGTTTCATTAATCTTCTGGAAAGCGCTTTTGAGAGTGTGACCCAAACTCTTAAATGAAAGAGACTTGATTAATTCTACTTCCTTGGTACTGCGTCTCGTGTTGGGTCCTCTTGCGTTAACAATCCTGAGGGCATGTACCAACCCATCTTAACATCTTTTACTAATGGTCTATCTCCGTTTTCAACCCTGCAACAGACTACAGTAAACTTACATAGAAAATAAATGTGCCGAGACTTGGCCTTGCTTAGTAGGTTGGAGGTTACAATAAACTTGGAGATCCTGGAAAGCGATGAGGGGAACTCGAGCCGAACAAATTCGACTGTTGATATGACGAAGGCGGATTGGTACAGTAATCAGCAGAGTACTCAAACGACCATGGCTACCCTCCATCGAGTTAAACAGCGAGTGAACTACTGGACGTTTGCTTCGTGTAACCAAACGTGGGTTAGAATTCCAACGAGAATATTACGTGGGTTCTCGACACCAGCTCCAGGCAAATTCTTCATCTCATTGCTTCAAACAACTAAACCTGTAAGTGGAACGAGCCTTGTTGGCAAGTTTAAGGCAACATGTTGCACTTTTGTGAAAGGGAATTTTATCATACATTTTCTCTTGCACATAAGCAGGTAGTTAACAAGATCTGAGGACCATGGAGCCTCCAACTATATCATTAAGGATGAGTCCTTGAAGCTGAACTTCTGATGCAGTAACGAGCTCATTTTCGAAACTTCTTGACAAGAGCATCAATCGTAAATTTGGTATTTTTGTATAATAATATTACATAGTGAATAAATCATGAATAATATTTATATTGTGGTGATATGCACATATTGATGTTTGCAAGTAACATCGATAAATTCTAGAATCTTATCCAAAGTAAAGTTAAATGAAGGCTCCTATTTTTATGTGTTTATTTCAATTATTTATATTTGAGATGAGTCAAGAATTTTTGTTTTCATTTTTTATTCGTGCTCTATTCTATCATTAATACAATTTAGTATGGTGGAATGATTTCATATCCCGTTTTATTTAGTTTGATGAAATATATGATTTAATAGTTTCATATTATCATCTCAAACATAAGTAAAAAAATCATAATTTCATATAAAACATTATATATGAAAAAAATTATAACACTGATTTGGAAATGATAAATGAATACAGTTCATATCAGTTCAGTGTCTTAAATAATTATTTGACTTTCCTATTCTTGTGCATTTTGTTTAGCTAGTTCACTCATTTAGCAATATCTTTTGTTACTAGTTTGATGAAATAAGTCTTAAGTTTGTAACACCCTCCTTACATTACTGATACTTGCATAACTAGTAATTGGATAATGGTACATCTTTGTGTATAGAGTATTAGTGATTGTCTGTTGCTGCTCCACAACACTGTAATTATGATGTTTTGCAAACTTGAAGCCATATCAATAGATTGATTAATCCCTTGTCATAAAATTCGCACATAAGTAAGTCTTGGCAGATAGATGCATGCACATGTGTGTGTATATATATTCAATAATTTACAATATATATTCACATAATCATTTTGTAGTAAAGAAAAGATTTTTTTTCTCTCTCTCAATCAATTGTTTAAAATGTTAAAATCAATGTTATGTCATATATTAAAGTATTTAATATCACTTGAAAAAGATATATGGATACAAATTACCTCTATTGAAGATTTGGTTGACCTATCAATCTAACAATATTCTTAAATAAAATAGACATGTCTATGTTATCATCTTTTATCTCTTGTAATTTATTTTGGGACCTTTCTTTTGAGATCTTTCATCTCTATCATCTTCTTTATTGCCTACTTTTCATAACTTCTTTCTAATCATTTTCTATTCACCTTTTCTATCAACATGTAATCCACATGTTTTTCTCTATTCTCTTGTATCTTAATCTTTGTCACATTCTGAAGTGGTAATTATTTTTCTTCAATTCTTCTTCTCATCATTTCTTCCTTTTCTTTGGGTTCATTATACCTAGTGTTGATATCATTTTCTTCATCAAATCATTTAAATTTCTTCAATCTAACATTCACTTCTTCTAAATTGCATGTTTGTTTTCTATTTTCCACTTTAAATATAAAAATTCATTAATTAATAGCATAGATTTGTACAATCTATACAAATAAAAAATTTAAGTTAAGAAAGAAAATAAAAGATTAGCCAAACAACAATTGCAACAAACATAGTATGAGTTTTTAGGAAGTTGAATCCAAGGAAAAAAATTAAAGAAGATAAAAATGTTTTTAGGATGTTTAAGATATTTATTCTAATATTGTCATTAAAATGAAAATTTTTAATATAAAAACCAAGAATAAAACTACTTTGTGGTTCTAAAATTAAACATTATGTTTCAAATAATAAACAAATACTATAATTTAGCAATCAAAAATATAATTGCTCTATTGAGTTATTTTTTTTATAAACTCAAAACATTGAAAAAAAGCCTAACCAAAACAATCATTTGTAATTAGAACTTAAATAATTATCAAAAAAAAAATAAAAAAAAGAAAAAAAAAGAAAATACTTTATTTTTTATTTTTTTTCTTTCTTCTATTTTGATTTGTTAATATAACTTGATTTACTTATTTTGACATATCAAAACAAAAAAAATCAAAAAAAATTGAGTCATAATCTATTAATTTAAAAAAGTAAGTATATTTGAATTATCATTTTTAGAATTATCAAGGAATTGTGGTAGATAACAGAGGCTTTAGTATCATGGTGGCATCAAGTTCCATCAATTTTATTGGAAGATGAAATACAATAAGGAAATGCCAATTAGAATTTGAGAGTTTTAGAGTATGAGTTATAGAATCAATTAGTTATAATACAAGAGAATCTAAAATTTAAAGATTTCGATGTATTTAATTTATTTTCTATTTTAATATATATATATATATATATATATATATATATATAGTCTTATACAATGTCAAAAGAAGGATAGGTATTTGATTGATATATCTAGTTCCAAGTATTGTATTGGAGCCTTGTATTGAGGATTCTCATCTTGATTGTAGTTTTTATCTTTCATGTATATAAGTGCTTTATTCTATGCCTTAAGTCTCTTATAACTGTTTCAAATAAGATTTTGGCCTATCAAATATTAATGCATCTTTTGAGTATCTTATGGAATTATCAAAGCAAATGGAATCAACAATGCTTCATTTCTTCGGTAGAGATATTGCATACACTCTTACAATGCATGGTATAGGAACAAGAAGATAATGGTAGATCGAGTATTGAGGCCAATTGATGAAGAATGAAGTCAAGAAAATCACTAAACCAATAATTATGGGAGACATTAAAATGCTTGCAAGACTTAGACAAGTACTTAGCATAGGAGATCCAACAACTTAAGACTGCAAGAGAAGAAGATAGCTTCATTTTGTTCTATAGTCTTAGATACATAGCATCATTTATAGAGTATTTTTAATTATAAGAAGAATCCATATCCAATCTACACCTTTCAAATCTTCAATAAGTATCTTCTTCTAATTTATAACGTTGAGAAATAACAACTTCTCTTTTTCACAAATTGTACAGCCAAAGTATCATAGTACTATTAAATCAAATCACAATTTTTTATGTCAATAATATTAATCTTCAGTCTTTCAAATATGGTATTTAATTTGTGTTATTTAGGATCCAAATTCCTATAAAGGTTCAATCAATATCAATACTATTTAGAATTTTTGAGTATACAATTATCATGGATGTTTTTATATACTACAAATTAGAGTCAAAAACTAATCATTCAATAGAAATATAATATTACATCTCCTTAATAGACCATACTATTATCACTTCCATAAGATTCACAAATCATCTTTTCTACTCAACAAGCTCCTTACCTTACTTTTATAACTTAAGAAGTGGATCATCTTAGCAAACTTCTATAAGTATATAGGTTATATAATATCTCGCTTATATTTTAGAAGGAGATTAATATCCTTATATATTATATCTTGGCAATAAACCAAACAAGGATTCTTAGAATATAATTTGGACATATTTTTGAAAGCATATCAATAACTTGATGTTGAATTTTTTACATCATATTGGAACTTCCATTCTATCTTAAGGAACCAATCCAACATGTAATAATCTTTTTATCTTTTATATTATATTTTATAGCTATTATTCCTATCAAAATTTAAAAAATGCTATTTTTTAGACTAATGGTAAGTTTGACAAGCTTTCTAGATATGTTCTAATTTGCCTCTATAGAAGGATTTATTGCCATTGTTACAACATCTTCCATAAAACCTCCTTCTAATCATTAAATTTTCTATCACTATAATTGATTTCAGCCTATTATTTAATACCACAAGTCAAATAAAAACTCTCCAATAATAATTGTTGCCCACAATGCCAAAAAAAGTCACCAACTTCCTATTAGAAGATCAAATACTTCATATCTTATTACTATTACTTAATAGTATGAATTCTTTAATGCTTCTTTACATGCTACCATCATCCAACATGTATACTGCCAAAATCTTTTCTGCACCAATCTTATTGGAAGCAAACAAACCACTATCATTGTGAGTTGATTAAGAAAAATTACCTTCATTATCTTTTAGGAAGTATTCCTTATTTGATGACTTCCTTATATTTTTGTGAGATTTTATCATTATTGCAGATACATAAAATGTATCTAATTTCTAATAGATTTCCTAAATTTGTAGATGGCTTGTAGAAGATGCTCAAGTCTTATTCAACTCTTCTATCAATACTTTAAGATTACCTAGTTGGTTTCAAGTACAACATCTTGTTTAATAATTTTTTGTCCCTATCGATCAATACAATAATGCATGGATTTTCATGAATCAAATCAAATTCTATCATGGATACAATCTTGATCTTTATTTTTTATGGTTCATCAAGCATTCTAAGCTCACAACAAATGATGATAGTAACTTCATGCACCAAAATACACATTTTTACTTCATCACGTCTATTTTCATTGAAATCATGAAAAAGGTTGGAATCCACTCATTCATATTCGACAATGCAATGCTTTGCTACCTCAAGTTTTGTATTCAATTTTTTGATCCCACTCCAATCAGGCCATTAAAGCTAAAGGTTGTGACTATGGTAGATGCACTTGCCTATGCACATTCATGCCACTTCTTCATTAATACCACCAATAATTTCTATAAAGATGAATAAAATCTTAAACTTGTCATTAATGATTTTTGAAATCAACTATATGTCCTATATTCTAGCACATAATGGATAAAAAAGAAATAATTTTTTTCATTCAACAATGGCTGTGAACTAAAATAACCTCCCATTAGTTAGTAGATTATTTTAATTCACAGCAACTAAGTTGTCTAATAACTCTATTATTTTATGATTATTATCTAACTTATATTCAATAAGTTCTAATATTCTTCAATTGTGAATTAAATAAAATTCTTTTAATTAGTGATTTATCCTAATTTTCTACAATTAATTACTTTTTATTTTTTTATATGAAATATCAATCTAGTTCTTACCAAAGATCCTTAAATTTCCTAAACTTGTTCAATTATCCACTCACACATGCCATAACAACAATACTAATAACATAAAATAATTCAAAAATCACATAATTTGAAAGATTTTTTTTGATATTTAAATTAAATTAAATTTTATTATTTAATAATAAATTTTATTCAAGAATGATTTTTTATCTATAAATAAAAATTTATCTATACTTAGCCAAGGTTCATCCAACCAAAAATCATTCACTTTAATCTAACTTTGTCCACTCATGCATATATTAAAATTCCAAGGACAAATTTG